GTAAGTTTCAGATTATATCAAAAGAAAAAAGATAAATGTTTTGTATGGCTTATACAGTGTTTTTAAAAAATTTGAATTAGTTGCCAGCATTTAAAGATCAAGAGATTTTTTTACCTACAAATCCAGATTTCTGATTTCTGATTTCTTGTGGGAGATCTGAAAAGCTAACCACCCAGGGAAATGACTGGCCAGGTGAATAGCCTAATAGTGTCATATAGATGGGCTGTAAGGACAAGGACACTACTAAAGACTGAACTCATTTACTTCCTAGGCAATGCTGGAACAGAGATAAATAAGGAAGGAGATTTTAAAAAAATAGATGGGCGGGCCGAGCCCGTGGCGTACTCGGGAGAGTGCAGTGCTGGGAGCGCAGCAGCGCTGCCGCCGCGGGTTCGGATCCTATACAGGGATGACTGGTGCGCTCATAGCGCTCACTGGCTGAGCGCGGTGCGGCCAGTCTCAAAAAGGACAAAAAAAAAAAAAAAAAAAAAAGATGGGCTATGTGACCCCCAGTTCTCCAAAGTCCCCACCCCTCCTTACTGTGATACACCCAGCTCACAGAATCCATTTATGTTACCAGGTGGCCCTGGTACTAGCCCAACCCCTGTCATAAGCTATGGGAAGGCAAGAATCTGCCCCAGAGCAGTCACTTAAAACATTTGTTGGATGGATAAATGGGTAGATGGTTGGATGGATGAACTCTCAAGACACTCCATTAACCCAGAGCAATGGCCAATCCCAGCACATCAAATCTATGGCAAGATGCTCCTTATATCAGCCAGTTTCTGAATAATCTGGGTGGGAGGGAGCAAGTTGAGAAACCAGGGTGTTGTCTGATGTCAGAGGTCCCCACGTGGGCTGTGATCTCTCTGTGGATTTATAGAGGCATCTGAAAGGTGTATGGCATTCTGGCATTGGGTTGGGGTGCTGGGTGGGCCGGTGAGTCCTCAAGGAGATGGTTATCATAGGATGCCTAAGGCAGCGAGGTTGGGTGGGGTGGGAACAAGCCAAATAATGGCTTGGGCCCCTATCAATGGGAGATCTGACTTGATGAGGCATGTCAGGGCCCAGGTTATGAGCAAGAGGTGATGATGGCTTTGTCTCCCCCAGCCCCTCCCACTTCTTGATTCTACTTGGGTCACACCGTTGGTTCAGAATGACCTCTTCTCTCATCTGCTCCCTGAAAGATTAAACTGAAAATATTTAATAATGCTCATCAGGTATTTTCCTAGCACAAGTAATTTCTCATCGCTCTTAAAATCCAAGCTCTTTACCGCTTCCTACCTGACCCAAAAACTCCTGCCCCCGCTAATCTCCCTGACCTCAACTGCTATCACTCCACTCATTTCACATCCCCACTTACTCCATTTCCATCCCCACCCCCTGTCCCCCTGGTTCCTTGCACATGCCAACTCTTGACCACCTTAAGGCTTTTGTTCATGCACCTCCCACCCCAAGTCTTCAGCCTGGTTACCTTCTACTGCTCCTTCAGGTCTCAGCTCAAATGTCACCTCTATCGTGGTACTGCCTCTAACCTCCTACATCCTCTCTCAGCCTGTAGCCTTCAGTCTTCCTCTGTCACTAACCTTTTTCATTTTCTTCATTCATACTCAGGAGTGTCTGAAATGGTCTTATCAATTTGAGTATTGTATTGTGTCTCCAACTAGAATGCCAGCTCCACGAAAGCAGGGATTTTGCTGTATTGTCCATCACTTTGTCCTCAATGCCTAGCACCTAGTGGGGACGCAACGAATAGTTATTCTCGAACGAATGAGACTCTCAACAACTTGGATTTTGGGATAAGCTGGGCATTGGGTTTTAGGATATAAGCATCTAGGTGGGTTGAGACTTAGCTATAAGAGGATGTGAATTGTGATATAGCTTGTGAGAAGCGTGTACCCTGGGCTGTTGGGGTTATGTTTGGGAAACAAGCGCCCTGTCAGGGGGTAATCGAATTGTACTATAAACTGGGCTGGATCCAACAGGTAATGTCAGACTGGACCCTAGATCTTGGGAAGCAGGAGTCCAGTTGGGCAGTAGCTGAGTTAGCTTGTGACTTGAGCAGTGTCCAACAGGTATAATAAGGTCATTGAAGGAAAAGAACCAAGCAATCGAGAGTCCATGCTCGTCGTAGCTAAAGAGAACCGTGATCCGAGAATCGTCCAACAGGTCACTTGGAGCTGTTGGAGGACCGGCCCTCTTTGGGGGAAAACAGGGGTCCTGAGGGGCGCTGGCTGGTTGGGCTGTAACCTGGGCTGGTGGGTGGGTTGTGCGCTGGGACTCCGGCAGCTCCACGCTCCCAACAGGCGAGAACCCGGCCCCAGCCGGCCGGCCCGGGTTGGGGAACCAAGGCGGGGGCGTCGGGAGGCACGCCTGGGGAAGGCTCCCCTGGGAGCGGCTCACCTGACGGACCCGGACCTACTAGTCGGCGCGCTTTCGCCCCGCCCCGCCCCCCGACCAATAGCGGCGCGGAGGCCCACGGCGGCGGGCGCGGATTGGG